GTGCAATGAAAAAAGCAACGTCTTAATCCAGATATCTAACCATGACTCGCGCATGGATTCATGTGCACGGTTGTGGCATGACCACCAAAACAGAAAGATATTAGACACAATATGTCTTCAAATACTATTTAGTTTCCTATCCATGTGAACATGAGGGGGGGGGAACCTAACCTCCTCTAGGGGGTCTGGGGGGCGTGCTCCCCCGGGATGATTTTTTTTAAATGTTGAAGTTAAAAGCATCCATCTGGTGCACTTTTAGAGCAACATTAGGAGATCTATGGATACATCTCTCAACACCCATATGAAACAGACCTGTAAGCAGATTTACTTTTTCTTTATGGATATTTTACAAATCACTGTCCTTTCAAACTGTATTCTTGTTTATTAATAACAACTTTTTTTTACCCTCATATAGTATTTTATACCCGTTTACTTTATTCTCTTATTTTTTTATAACTATAATGATCATATAAAGATGTGCCTTTACCTCACTGGTTGTAGAAAAAGCTTCTCATATTCGTTAGCATAGCTAGCAAACCAGATGCTAATAACAACAAAGTTATTGACTGTATGATCAGCATGACAGATGAACAGATCGCCACTGGGCTTTCAACTAAAGACACAGCCACACAAAAACTGCGGCATGTGTACGGCTCCTTATGGGTACTGCTTGGAAGTGCCGGAGCGACTATCTGGTGCTCTTCGTCAGAACTACACCCCTGTCAGACGAGACATGCACCACGTGATGACACGTTAGGCTCCTGTTGTGTTCAAGGACCCTGACCTTGGTCAGGAAAAACAGGCACTTGCTTTGTTTGTTTGCGGTCTAGATTTCTTTAATTTTTTTCTTTTTTGCGTGTGTTGATAAATTACCTCGAGGGCCGTACCAAATGGTCTCGAGGGCCGTATACGGCGCTACTGACCATGCTACAGATGTTAGTGCAAAATCTGCACTTTCTACCACAACCATCAGCAACAAGTGGACATGGAGAACTACATGAACTACATGTTGCTAAATCCACCGCGGAGAATAAACAGAAGGGCAACCATGCTCGCGGGGTCTTATTTGCTGCTTTTGGTGTATTTTGTGGCGGAAGTACAGCGCCACCTACAGGCCCGGCATGTGTACTACCAGCGGGTCGAGCAGTCTCCTGTGGACGGACACGTTTCTGGTGCCGATTCCGTGTGGACGGAATACTTTTTTGATATCAACCTCGGTTCGTTTTAGTTTTCGTCTCTGTGTGGACTGAGTATGTTAAACCTCCCAGCTTTATTGTCATGTGGCTAAATGTGAAGTGCTGGCAAGATATTCAAAAATGAATCAAATGTTGTGTGCTTCCACTGGCAAAAGCAACCCATCGTATTCACACCCGAAACAAAGCATCACATTTGGCTTTTATTACCACAGTGTATACAAGCTGAATATTCCAACATGCTAACATTTTCACCACTCATGAGTCATACAAATTTGGCTGCAGTATTGTATTATATTTACTAGTTCGTTTACTCCTTTTGGTTGAAAAAAATGGTCAAAATCTCCCCAAACTTATGTGGATGCCATTGAATGACCAGAACTCGATTCCTTGTCAATCTAACTTTCTTTATATATGCGGTCACGTTTTTCAAATTGCTTTAGCAACAAAAGGAAAATATCTTTAATTTACAATTATAGAAGATGGAGAGAGACAGCAGCACATCTTTTCTAAGAAACTAGAACCAGAAAATGTTTGGCATTTTTACTTAATTAAAAGATTAATTGTTTATTAAAATACTGCTAATTTAATTTATTTTCATACTATTCAGCTAATGTGGTGCCTGATTGGAATGACATAATGCTTTTGCTGTTATTCAGATTCCCCTTTAATCTAATGAACCCAACTTCCTCCCTCAGTGTGACCTGGTGCTAGATGCAGCCCACAGAAAGAGCCCAGAGCCGAGCATAGCTCCCAGGAAAGAGGATATTGTGGAGAGCATTATATTCAAGGCCTCAGATGTCGTAGTGGTGACCTTCAAAGATGTGGACCTGAATTTTGCCAGGAAAGGTACTGAGGGCATATGGGGTGATACATATTATCTGGGCACATGAATAGAAGTCTTAGAAAACATATTCTTGTACATACTTTAAACCCATATTGCATAGACAACGTGAGTAGGTGAGTTTGAAATCTAGTATTCATTGCAGAAACATAAACAGAGCTTAAGCCCATCATTGAATACAGACTACATTTTGATTAGCTTCAGTCTGTATAGACTACGATGAAGTCCCAGTGGCTTTACCATGAGTTAAATCTTGTGTGCTCTCTGAGTGGCCAGTTATTGATGACTAACGTGATCTATTGATTGTTCCAAAGGCCTGCCCTGGTGCAGCAAGGACACTCAATAAAAGCTTAAAGAGTCTTCTTCATCTTGACCCATACAATTCTTCTAAAATAATGGGCTTTGTGGGATGGTTTTATTTTCTCAAAATGAACAGGTAAAAAAATAGTGAGGATCTCGCCGCATGATTCATGGAGAAGGAAACTACACTGGTGCCACTTGTTAAATACAATAGTAATCCTGTTAAATTCAATAATTGTGTACTGACTGGAAATTGAACAATGTTTTGCCAACTAAAGCACAATGCCAATGTTAGTAGTATTATTTTGTTAAAATGTTATTCTGATTTTGAAGTTTTCAACTGAATAAATGAATTAAGGTGATAAGACACAGCCTGACTAAAACCACTCTAGAGTTTTTTTAAAACGATAAACTGTCAGTCATTCTGTCTGTCAGTCCATCTTCTGACTATCATCTCTCTCTGTCTGTCTCTCCTCTCCAATGCTCTAGTCCCCTCTGACACAGGTAATATATGACTGTTTTCTACTCTATGCACTCAAACAAATTTGAATCTCTTGGGGTCTGATTTGTGGCTGCTTCTTAAATTCAATTTTATGATATCATTTGGGGATCACCGCTTTCACGATACCTGAGAAAAACATCAAAAAGTCTCATCCATGTCAGTCCTGCTCCATCTGTTCAGCATTTTTGTTATCTTTTGACTGGATGTTGCTTTCAGTGGAAGAGTTGCCACTTGAACTAACACGAATACTTATTTTTACCAGTAACGTGTATTTTTCAGCTGTCAATCAAAGTTATGTTTCAAAATTAGATGTTTAGTTTTATTTGAATTAATCATTATTTAATGTTTTTGGCAATAGCTCTAATGGAGCCTATATGCAGCCATGGCCACTCATGAACATGAGGTTCTGCTGCAGCGTTTTAATTGAACCTTACTGAACCAGAGCTCAGATTAAATCAAATCTAAATGGAAAAGAGAAAATATATGCATGATTCCATTGAAAGCAACAGATTGAAAATGTGTTGAATATTAGAACCCTAATTTAACTTCTAAGCATTGTATTGAAACTCAAATGAAGTTATATTTTATGAACCATAATAAGGATGTTTAATTAATTTTGACCCTGAAGTCTGAGGTCATTTGACTGACTAACATCCACATGCATGTTTGCTTACCCCCCACTATGTTTAATTTGTAAATATTCCTTATTGAATGTGCAATTCTCTTAATGGACAGTATGGATATAGCATATCAACCACCTTTACTAATATGACTCTGGCCTGTTCAGTGCACTTTAAATGCTTTGATGCACAGTATTGTTGGATAAATTGGGATGGCTGAGTTATGTAACTCCAGGTGGCTGATGTGCTTAATGCATGCAGTCCATTAGGCGCAGTTTTGAGAATGTGAGTGCAGGCTAGTGCTGACCATAGACTGTATGGTGCGGACATGGGATTAGAGTTCCTTTCAGATATTTGCTTTTCTTTGAGCATGCCTGTACGTGGTTATGGTTGAGCCATGTATGACTCGGTAAAGTTCACGTTTCAAACTGGAATTCAGTACCCAACAGTAGTTTTATTTTTTTTTTAGTACTTCATATTTTCTGTAATAACAAAAAGTAATGTCAGTTGTGACAATCAGTCCATAGTTCAACATTTAAAATTCCTTATTTAATTAGAATTGTTTTGTATATATACATAGTATTTTACACTGCACACACTCCCAAACTTGGTCTTGTAGACATTTTGACAAACCTACATTTTATTCACAAAATGTTTTACCATTATGTTAGCACCTTAGTGGTTTGATTAGTACATATTTTTACAGGCCGATGCATTCATTGGGAACTCGCTCTTTGCCTTTTTCACAAGGCTGTTTTCAAATTCGTGCTCACAGTCGGAACATTTGATCCTTGTTGGCTTTACCAGGACTTGCTCAAGCAAAAGCTTTGAATATTTTGAAAGGATTCTATTTCCCAATTCAGTTAGATCCATGCCTTATTGAGAGTGGGTGTGCCTGGTGAACCCACACTCCTTCCCCACAAATAGACCCTTGCTTTGAAAGCATGCAGAAGAAGCTCTTAAGGCATGAGTGCTTTCCTGCATAAACAGTGAGATTGCAGCCATGTGACTGTATACCATCATGAGCTTATGCGGATGTGTTTTTGAGTGTGTGCACTGTACAGAAATATGCGTTCTTTGTCTGTGCCGCAGACAACTTCACAGATGCTGCAGTGAGCGGTAAGATCAATGGCGAGCATAAAGAGAAGGATCTAGAGCCCTGGGATGGAGGAGAGACCCACAACTCTGACAGCCTGGAGTCTCTGGACACCGATGTCGTAAGAAAACAGACACCAGCACAACAAATGCATTGATGCTGTATAAGTTACCCCATAGTCCATACAGGCCCTCATATGATGAGTTGTGTCTCTAACAGGGACACAACTCATCTGATCCACAGCATTGATAATGTGTTAATAGACCTCTAGTGAAAATCTCTTTCTTTTCTGCTTCTCTCTCTATATCAGTCAAATGGGTGGGACCCCAATGACATGTTTAAATACAACGAGGAGAAGTATGGAGTGTTGTCTACATATGACAGCAGCCTGTCCACATACACGTAAGCCTTTCTGTTTGTGTTCTGCTCTGTATGCATCACTTTGTGTTTATTCTGTTCAATACCATGCCTTCTCCTGTATAGACGACATCTACATGTCATACTCCTTATGCTGTATTTTGTAATAAAATAATGAATTCTGAATTTATTGTCAATATGTCTGAACATAATCTTGCTATGACATCTTCTGATAGAAGTAAAACATGATATCAGTCTTCCCCGAGTCCCTCCATCAGCCTGCTGACCTTGTCTGACCTGTCCTTGTTTCCCAGGGTCCCCCTGGAGAGGGACAACTCAGAAGAGTTCCTCAAGAGGGAGGCGCGTGCGGCCCAGCTGGCCGAGGAGATCGAGGGCAGCGCCACATACAAGGCCCGCGTGGCCTTAGAGAACGATGAGCGCTCTGAGGAGGAGAAGTATACTGCTGTGATGAGAGGGGATCGGGAGACCCACTCACTGAGCAGGTGAGACCAGGACACACATAGACACTTAAGGGCCAATACAACGTTAAAATGGTTTAATTGCTGATTGTTCATTTGTACTAGTTCTTCTTGTTTGTAATTAGCTCATGATGCAATGCCAGCTCCTTTTTAAAATGCTTCAGCACAACACTGCAACATTAACATAGTTTATACTTTATATAATAAAATTGAATTTATACTATATATTTTTATTGTCATTATTATTATCATTAAATATGCATTCTTTCAAGTTATTGCACTGGCCTTGTCTGTTTGCAATCTTAATGGCCTGTAGATGTGTTGGAGCAGACATCATCAAATGATTCAATATCATATTACTTGCACCCCTTTTTAACAAACCTCTACATAGTTATGCATTAAAATTAACTATAAAATCAGAGATTAATTTTCATCATAGAGCAGTTATACAGTATCTTAATAAACACAGTACCTGTGGAATAAAAAGAGAATCCTACACACTTGTGTACAGAGTTTATTTCCACTGCCTGATATCTTAATGAAGACTTTACAAGTGAAAGACATTTGTACTTTATGTACGTAGATTTTATTTATAGTTGCATGCCATACAACACGAAGAATAATACCTACATGTGTAAACCTAATGCCTGCAGTCTAAGTTATTCCAGCAAATACACTAAGTACACATAGGCAATCACAGAAAAAAGACTTCTTAGTAATTAAAAAAACATGCTCATCTTGGCTGATGAGAACTGATGTAGTTGAATGTAATAATGTAGAATGAATTCTTCCCTCCTTAATTATCTATTATCGTCAGATGTATTTGACTAAACCATTTGCCTGTGTGTGTATGTATGCAGAGAGAACAAGTACATTCCTCCGGGTCAGAGGAGCAGGGAGACGATGTCCTGGGGCCCGGGACGTCAGAACCCATCTCGCCTGGCTCAGAGCTCAGCGGGCCCCTCGGCTCCTCGAGCAGGACCTCACGACTACAGTCCCAGCGCCGGGGCGGACCAGAGGGTGGTTAACGGAGGTATGTTTAATAAGTCACACACAAACCTATGGGGCTACATGCTAAATGCTAAACAACCACATACTACAGAGGGCCAGATACTGTTCTCTCCAATCCTGTCCTTTTACTGATTTAAAGCCAGTTCTTAATCAGTCTGGGGGATGTTCATATTCGTTGTTGCTGTTAATTTTTTAATAATAATATTTCCGCCTTATCATTCTTTCTCATATTTATTAATCTCCCCTTCCTTATATTCCTGCTTTATCTTGGTTTCCCCCACTATTACTTGTTGTTATCTGCCATTTGTCATCCTTGATCATTTGTCCTTCCCTCTTTTAGGTTCATCCCATTGGCACTCACCCTGTCCGTCTCCTTCCTCCCGCCCCCCCCCTCGTTACCAGTCTGGCCCCTCCTCCCTGCCTCCTAGGGTGACCACGCCCACCAGGCCACCCTCCAGACCCCCCTCTCGACCTTCCAGGCCTTCCTCTCATTCATCCCACCCCTCCTATCCCTCCTCCTCATCCTCCTTTTCCCACCATGGGCCTACGTCACCAGCCTCCACTCTGCCCAAACGCATGTCTTCAGAAGGTAGCCACATCAGTGTGGAGCAGACCTGGGCAAAGGCATGAGTTGAAGGTGGAGGGATTGAGCTCAATGTGGAAATTATATTCCATGACAATTACACTGAAAGATGTTAGAAGCGTCTTAAAAGTGAAATAGGCAAACTACTTTCAAAAATACATTTGCCCAGGTCTAGTGTGGAACATTAAAACGGGTGAAGTTGCTTCTTCAGACTGATTTGGGGTCATATTTGCAATTTCCATATAGATGGAAATGTTGAGGATTTGGTAAGCCACTAAGAGGATCCTCTATCTCGATGTTTGCTTTGTAATGTTAGATCACCATGGCACCAGTGTCTCATAATGCTTCTTATGGAGCCTTCAAGAGGAAGAACAGACATCGCAACATTTTGGCTAATAAGGAATGTTGTTGCTGATTAAATCATTAAAAACAGATGTTACCCTAAAAAGAACGAAGGAAACATTTCAAAGGCTCGATTTCTATATTTGTATCAGTTGGTCTCTATTCATACTGTGCTTAATCAGGTCATTTTGTGTTGTGTTGGCTTTGTACTCAAGCACTGGATTTGAAATAATATCAACCAATATGAGGTTAAATTAAAAGCTTTGAGCTTCAACTTGTTAGCCACCTCTTTTGCTTAAAACATTTTACAAGTCAGTTGCACCTCTGATGAGAGCCAGCAAGTTTGATCTGTTGATCACATTTTTAATGGGAGTAAAATGGGAAATGATTTAACCTATGTTCAGCCAAAGATCAGTTTTGCAGTGTGCTGTCACTTGTGAAACACCATACAAACTGCTAAAAGGTGATTTCTGAAATACAGCTTCCCTCCTCACCTTTTTCCTCCCCTCCCCGTTTCCCCTCCCTCACTTCACGTGGCTTTGGTTTGAAGTGGGATGTGTTTTGATCACTTTACAGGATTATCTGCAGATCCTCCACTAACATGCATGTCAACAAATAACATGACTGTGTGATGTGATATTTAAACCTTGAATAAGATGTACTCTGTGCAGAGGTTTGGGTTTTTTAAAGAATGTGTAGGACAAAGACGAGTTTAAGAGAATCCTCCACAGCAGGAGTGTACACAGGCTGTCAGTGTTTACCTTACCTCCACGGTCTGCATTCACCGTTCTGTCTGTCCTCATCTGTCTTTCTTCATCCACAGGCCCACCCAGGATGTCTCCTAAATCCCAGCGGACGCCTCGTTCTCACAGAGCGCCACCCTGTAGGACCACCGGAGGGGATTTCATTTCCCACAATGCTCCTGGAGAGGTCCCAGTGACTCCACCAACCAGGAGCAGCTCCTCTGGAGGGACATGGTCCTCTGTGGTTAGCGGAGGTAGAATAGATTTTTGCTTCCATGTCCAACTGTAGGAACATTTCTGCGCACGTTTTAAGAGCTTTGCATTGAACCTAAAATCTTTCAAAGGTTTCAATATAACAATATGCAATCATGGGTGAAAGCCTAAACTATTTCATTACTTCTAAACTTGTAATGGCCAAGTTGATTGGGGTAACTTAGAAATGTTTTATGTTATTTGTAATAATTTCTTCTTCCCCTCCTCAGCTCACAGACCTCGCTCCCCCCGACAGAATAATATGGGTGGAGCCTCTTCTGGCTCCTCCTCCCTCCCAGCAGCCCAGACAGGAGCTGCTCCTGTGGAAACCGTTTCTACAGCAACATCAGCTTCCTCTCCTAATGCTGCTAGCCCCGCCCCCAACATGGTCACCTCTTCTTCGGCAGATGGTAATGTGAAAGTAACACTTTCATTGAGATTGATTGAATGAATGATTGTTGTGCAGAATGTAACACCTGATTTCTGTTTGGATTTGATGTTTTAGTGCACGTTCTGTCACTACCAGAAGCATTTGTTTTTTGCTGGGAGTCTAATGACTGTTTTTCTGTTAAAGCAAAAGACTGTCGCGTCCAAGAGACAAGACAGACATCCCCCACGGCTAACAAGGAGAACATCAAGCCCTTGGACAGCTCACCTAGTGTCGCCAGACCAGTCTGTAAAGGTACAGCTCACACCGGTCAGCAGGTTGACTGTATCTATTTGGTTATCACTGAAAACCTCAATTGTGTATCTCTCTACTTGCCTTACAGGACCCCCTTCTATGGCACCAGACCACAGAAAACAAATAGATAATTTAAAGAAATTCAGTGTCGATTTTAGGGTAAGTGTTGGAAATCTGGCCTAACTCACCTCATGTTTTTGAGGCAGCACTAGAGCTTGAATGCGCCTCCTCTAACTCTTTTAATTTAATTTCTCCTTTTCCAGTTGCAGTCTAGTTCAAACTCAGACCCTGCCTTTGACCCGATGATGACCAAGCCCCCCAGAGATCCAGCAGACAAGCCGAAAGATCTTCCCATGGACAAAGCCTCCTCAGTGGGGCGGGAGGGCCCTGAAGACGGTGTTGCTGGTGGAGCACCTGCTCCATCCACCACAAACGCCAGTAAGCCTGGCAGCCCTGCTGCTCTGTCCCCGTCCCCCTCAGCCCCCGACCAGAAGAGGGCGGGGCTTGATATGGCATCACAGGGAGTCCAGACCAACGCCACGTCCTCATTCAGCGGAGCCAAGCATGAAGAGAAGGAGGAGAAAAAGGAGGCCGTACAAGAGTGAGTGGATGAGACTGAACGTATGTTTAAAGGATATCCTTGTTTATCCTGGCATCAACAACTCACATGGAAAGACCAAAACCAACATAGTCTTGATCCTAACAAGTATTTTATGTGTAGTCAAAGCCTGGTATATTTAAATCCATTGTGGCCCGAACACTATTCAAAACACATCAATGTGCTACACTGTGCTGCCTGATATACTCACTAGATAACCAAATGTGTTTTAATCAGCTGCTGAAAATAGTCCACAATGCAATGCTTATTCCTGTTTGAGGATTGTTTGCCCAGCTGTTTTAGGACATATGTTTATTTATATGTCTTTTTAAAGGAATATATACATTTGATGACTGTCAAATGTATACTTCTTCACTGTTTGCTTTCCTCCTGCAGTCAAGTGAGAAAATCAACTCTGAACCCGAATGCCCATGAGTTCAAACCCAGGTTTAACACGCAGGTCAGTATGCTGTGCCAGACAAGACTATTTAAATATGACTCACTGAGCATGTTATTTGACTAACTTTCCATGTCTGTTTTTCCATGCTCCTTCATCAGTCCAAACCAGCCAACACCCCAACGCCCCCCCGGCCTCAGGGCCAGCCCAGCCCCTCCATCGTGGTGCAGCAGCCCCCCGCTGTCTACGGACAGACGGTGTGCTTCCCCCAGATGTATCCCCTCACACCAGTCAGCCCCGGAGTGCAGGTGAGACCCCGGCATGCTGAAATGTGCAGTATGAAAACTGAGAGGTTGCTTGTTTCTTTTCAATCACCCTTAATGTGTCACATTCCATCGTAGTTGTAAATTCATTCAAACACATCCCTCACGATCACCAGTATGTCTCCCAACATGTCTGCTAATGTTTGTCCTCATTTGGTATTTTCTTCTCATATCCTCTCTTTGATTAATTTGTAATGCACGTCAACATATATATATTTTTTAATTTATTTATTTTTCAATAGGCTACTTCACTTAACTTTTTTTTTTCCTACACCTTGTTATCATTTTACAACGTTTCTTTCTTCTGTCATCTTTCAGATACAGTTTTTTTGTTGAAATATTTAAGAAATGTTTTCTTATATATTTTGGGATAACTGGACATACTTCATTATACATACGTACATTTTTTTTGTTTATATTATTATGTCAAAGGTATTGACCATATTTCTGATGAAAGCTTTACATTTGTAGATGTAAATCTAAACGTTTCCCGTTGTTGCTTTAAGAAAAACTTGGTGATCCAACATCAGACACGTGTAAACGATAAAATAACTTGGTGAATCTAAGAGTGGTTCTTTTTTCCTTTTCTCCCCTCCTCCTCTTTCTCTCTCGCTCCATTAGAAAAGCATAATATGGAAGGTTTGTGAATTTTTTTTAATCCTTTTGTTTTTTAAAAGCCCAATCTGTCTTAAGATGTTTTTCTTGCTTGTTCAAATAATGCCATCAGATGTTGGTTTGCCAACTTCTTATTGCAATCCATTCTAAACTGTCATCACGGATAGACTTTGGTTCACCCGTTTATCACATGGCTGTCAGCTCATAGGAGTTTGAGCCTCTTTGTTTATGCTGCAGCACTGTTTGTAAAATAAAGGTAATGTTACAGGAATGGGAGATGACAAATAGAGTTTGGGTCACCTTTTTCTGAACAATAAGAGACGGGCATAGAAAATGCATGTGGCCCCAGGTAAGGTGCACATACATTGGGGCAAAAAAGTATTTAGTCAGCCACCAATTGTGCAAGTTCTCCCACTTAAAAAGATGAGAGGCCTGTAATTTTCATCCTAGGTATACCTCAACTATGAGAGACAAAATGAGAAAAGAAAATCACATTGTCTGGTTTTTAAAGAATTTATTTGCAAATGATGGTGGAAAATAACAAAAGTTAATCTCAATACTTTGTTATATCCCCTTTGTTGGCAATGACAGAGGTCAAACGTTTTCTGTAAGTCTTCACAAGGTTTTCACACACTTGCTGGTATTTTGACCCATTCCTCCATGCAGATCTCCTCTAGAGCAGTGATGTTTTGGGGCTGTCGCTGGGCAACACGGACTTTCAACTCCCTCCAAAGATTTTCTATGGGGTTGAGATCTGGAGACTGGCTAGGCCACTCCAGGACCTTGAAATGCTTCTTACGAAGCCACTCCTTCGTTGCCCGGGCGGTGTGTTTGGGATCATTGTCATGCTGAAAGACCCAGCCACGTTTCATCTTCAATGCCCTTGCTGATGGAAGGAGGTTGTCACTCAAAATCTCACGATACATGGCCCCATTCATTCTTTCCTTTACACGGATCAGTCGTCCTGGTCCCTTTGCAGAA